TATATATATGGTGGGTTGGTTAATTTTTTTTTTTTTTTGCATGTTGATAATTTGATTATCCCAATACCATTTGTTGAAAAGCTTATTCTTTTTCCACTGCATCATCCTTGCACTATTTGCAAAAATCAGTTGTTCATATATGTGTCAGTTTATTTCTGGAATATGTATCTGTTGATTTCTTTCTCCATTTTTACACCAGTATCACTTTGTTTGGGTTACTGAAGCTTTATAACAGTTATTGAAATATGGTAATGTTAGACCTCCAAGTTTGTTCTTTGTTTTCAAAGTCATTTTGACTGCCCTGGCTGGTTTGGCTTAGTGGATAGGGTGCCGGCCTGTGGAATAAAGGTTCCCGGGTTCGACTCCAGCCAAGGGCATGTACCTCGGTTGCAGGTTTGATCCCCAGCCCCGGTCGAGGCATGTGTGAGATACAACCAATTGATATGTCTTTCTCCCTCTTCCACTCGCTTTGAAAAGCAGTAGAAAAAATATCCTCGGGTAAGGATAATATAAAGTGAAGGAGTGGTTTAAAAAAGAAACAGTTTATTTTGACTGTTTTAGGAGTATTTAAACCATTTATATTTATTGTAATTGTTAATATTAATAATTGAGTTTGAAAAGATCATTTTTGTTATTTGTTTTCTATTTACCCTATCTGTTCTTCATTTGTTCTTTACTCTTTTTCTACCTTCTTTTGAATTCATCAAGTATTTTTTATTATTCCATTTTATCTTCTTTGTTGGCTTATTAAGTAGAACTGCCCTATTAAATATTATTAAGTGTCTGTAGTAAACATCATTAACTTATCAAGTCTACCTTCAAGGGATATTATACTAAAAAGAACCTTACAATGGCATGCTCTCATGTCTCCCCTCCCAGTCTTCATGCTGTTTTTGTCATGAATTTTAACTTTACCTGTATCATAAACCCACAATACATTGTTGTTTTTGTTCAAACAATCAAATATCTTTTAAATATATTTAAGTAATTAAAAGAGTATAGTAGTTACCATTTCCGGTGTACATACCTTTGAGCAGATTAAGATTTCCATTCAGTGCCATTTTCCTTCTGCTGGAAGGAATTTAACATTTCCTGTAGTGCAGGTCTGCTTGTGATGAATTTGTTCAACTTTGGTGTGTCGGAAAAAGTCTATTTCACGTTCATTTTTAAAGGTATATTCAGGACTTTAAAAGTGCTGTTCCACTGTCTTCTCACTTGCATTATTTCTGATGAGAAATCTGCTGAAATCTCACCTGTGTTCCTCTGTACATAACACGTCATTCTCTGGCTGCTTTAAACATTTTCTCAATATCACTGTTTTTGAGCAATTTGATTAGATTGATGTAGTTTATGTTTCTTGTACTTGGAGTTCATTGAGTTTCTTGGATCTTTGGGTTATAGTTTTCATCAAGTTTGGGAAAATTTTTATCTATTATTTCTTCAATTTTTTTTCTTTCTCTTCCTCTCCCACTTTTTTGATAACTTGAATAAATATATGTTAGGCCAGTTGAAGTTGTCCATCTTTGATGGAACATGACCTATAAGCTGCGACAAAATTCTCATATTCTACCTCTTCCAGGGGCTCGAGAACAACCTGTACAGCCAGTACGAGGAGAAGGTGCGCCCCTGCATTGACCTCATCGACTCCCTGAGGGCCCTGGGCGTGGAGCAGGACCTGGCCCTGCCTGCCATCGCTGTCATCGGGGACCAGAGCTCAGGCAAGAGCTCCGTGCTGGAGGCTCTGTCAGGCGTCCCCCTTCCCAGAGGCAGCGGTAAGGACTTGCCCTCTCTACCAGTCAGCTCTGACTGCCATAACAAACTACCACAGGCTGAGTTGCTTACACAACAGAAATTTGTTTCTCACAATCTGGAGGCGAGAAGTTCAAGATCAAGGTGTCAGCAAGCTTAGTTTCTCTTGAGGCCTCTCCCCTTGTGCAAATGACTGTCTTCTTGTTGAGTCCTTACATGGCCTTTTCTCTGTGTGTGCACGTGTGGTGTCTCTTCTTCTTTTTATAAGGATGCCAGTCATATTGGTTAGGGCCCCACCCTTATGACCTTATTTAACCTTAATTACCTCTTTAAAGGTGGGCCCTGTCTCCAAATACAGTCACATTGGAGGTTGGGGTTTCAACATGTAAATTTTGAGGGGGACACAATTCAGGCCGTAATACCCACTCATTGCACATTTTTTCTGTGGTTTATATGTAACCTGCAGTTTGTAGAAGGCCTTGAGTACATGCACATGGGTCCCCGGTCCAGAATTCTGTGCATGTGGGCATCTTTCCTGAGCCCCTTCCCAAGAGCTGACCCTCTCCCTCGGAAGTAAAGATTGGTTCTCTGGTTAGTGGTGCTGTTTGAGTTACAAGGCCAAAGATATCGGTGAGGGCTCATGGGATGCAGACAGACCTGAGATGGGTCTTGCCATGCTGTGGATGTGGAAGATGGGTGGGATGTGGAAGGAGTTTACAGTAAGGTGGCCTGGTGGGAACTGTATGCCTTTCTGACAGGAGTGGTGTGTATATTAGGGGATAGCGGAGGATGTTAGCATAAGTTTGCTGTTTACCACCTGAGCTGGTGACAAAACACTGGGATGAAGCAAAATGCTTAAAATGGTGGCTTTCAAGCATTAGGGAGTCAAAAATTGCCTCAGATGTATATTCAAAGTACATATTCCGGATGCCACCCCAGATATCATGTATCAGAATATCAGAGGGTGAGACCAGAACATTAGCCGGGTGAGCAGTCTCCCAGATTATATAAAACTGTGAGAACCACAAGTCTAAGGCCGCCATATAAGACTTTTAAGAGCAGAGTATGGAACTGATGTACACATGGCCTCCTAGGTATTGTTACAAGATGTCCCCTGGTGCTGAAACTGAGAAAACTTGGGAAAGAAGATGAGTGGAAAGGCAAAGTCAGTTACCGGGACATAGAGATTGACATTTCATCTGCTTTGGATGTAGAAAAGGAAGTCAGGAAAGGTAAGTACCCATGTTCATTCATCCTCACCTATTCAGATACCATGTGAAGTGGGTTGGGTCTGCCTGCCACTGTTCCCACTCTGTCCTTTCTAGGCCTGCCCTGCACCCTTAGGAACCAGTCCTTCCTCCATCCCTCTCTCCTGCTTGCCCCAGCTCCCTTGTGTTTTAGCTTCTTTTCCCTCATTAAGACCAGTGCTTTTGGACAGATTCTGACCTCAGTCATTTATTGCTTAGTATATAAGGTAGGTATCTGAGAATGATGTGAATTTTAAACTTTAAGGCTTGTCTCTGCATATTAAGTAATTTTTTTATTCAAGGGCTTCCCCATTCCACAGACCTGATGGAAGAGGAATTGGGGTGGGCCTTTTCCTCCAGAAGAATAGACGTGTTTACAGAATCCTTGTTTAGACTTAATTATGGCAGGTCCCAGTTAATGTAACCACAGAGATAATTTGATCAATTTGAAACATCCAAAGGGAGAAATCACACTTGAAGTTGATAAAGACACAGGAGTGACACAGTTAGTTGCTGATAAGTGTGATTAAGATGAATAGATAGCTTTTCCATATTTGACTTTAATTTCTTCCTAGCATGTCACATAATTAAGTTTCAATCATTTTGGGAAGGTACAAAAGTGACTTGTAGGTGTTGCTTTCAGAGGATTCACCATAATGGGTAACTTTCGTCCTAAGTGCTCTTTGTCTTTTCTTTTTTCCCTCTTCTCTAGCCCAGAATGCCATTGCTGGGGAAGGTGTGGGAATCAGTAGTGAGCTAATTAATCTGGAGGTCAGCTCCCCTCAAGTGCCAGATCTGACCCTGATAGACCTTCCTGGCATCACCAGGGTGGCTGTGGGCAATCAGCCATTTGACATCGGACGTCAGGTGAAACTTCAGGCTCCATCCTGACTTTGGTCTTGGGGGAGAAGGGAGGCTGCATTAGAGCAACCAGTGAATTCAGGGCTGTGGTTGAGGGCCGGATATTAAGAGGTATGAGTGGGGAATTTGGAGAGCATGACGGTTGTAATTTCCTTCATCAAGTCAGTGGAGGCTTCTCTGGAGAGAGTGAGGCAGACAGGCAAAATTGGAAATATGTTTTATATGTTTTCCATTTTGCACAATGACTCATTTTTGGTTATAGTCACATTTTGTGGCATGTCTAAACTGGCATGTATTATGGAAGGGTCTTATGTGGGAAGACAGAGCATTAGAAACAATGTGATATTTTCATATCAACGATTCTCACCCTGTGGATTAATGATTTGGGGAAGAGTCAAGCAATTTTTGTGACAACTTGTTTTTTCATGACCATCAGATTTGGGGTTTTAGGAGATGGTGAATGAGTGAAAACCTTGGTTTTCCCTGACTCCTGAGCTCTTTCTGCCAGACAACTTAGTTTCTCATAACTCTGGCTCGGAAAGTGCCACCAGGCTTGTGGGCTCATTTTTTGGATGAGAGGATACCCCTGGGACTCCAAGGGCCTAAAGCAAGTACAAGGTCAGGACCTGTCTTAATTCTCACACCTCTCATTTTCTTACAGATCAAGGCGCTCATCCAGAAGTACATTCAGCGTGACGAAACCATCATATTGGCAGTGGTGCCCAGTAACGTGGACATCGCCACCACAGAGGCACTGAGCATGGCTCAGGAGGTGGACCCCGAAGGAGACAGGACCATAGGTAAGAAGAGGGGAAAACCGAAAAATGGAAGGTGGTCTGACAGTAGAGAAGCATCCCTTGAATCCAATGGGTGTTTGTTGGCACACACTCAGGGTGGTGCCCCTGCACCAAGCAGATGAGAACTGCTAAGGGGTCAGGTTTGGTGCCCACTGAGGCCAGATGACATGGGTCACATTGACTCTTGTTGACCCCGAGTTGGCTCATCACCATTGTCTACCTGCTTATAGAAGGCATGGTGAGCTCAGGGGGTGGGACAAAACCAGAAAGCAGTTATGTAGTTAACAATGAATTTGAGGTGGGAAGAAAAGGAAGGACATTGTGACACGTGCCACAACATGGATGAACTTTGAAAACATTTTGCTAAGTGAAATAAACCAAATAACACATGTATTAGGTTCCTAGAGGAGTCTAATTCATAGAGATAGAAATTAGAATGGAGGGTGCCAGGGGCTGGGAAGGGGGAATGGGGAGTTAGTGTTTAATGGGGACAGAGTGTCAGATGGGGGAGATGGAGAGTTCTACACCTTGCCCCTGGGCTCTGCAAGGCCTATTGTCCGCCCTCAAGCAAGGTTGGGAGGAAGCTGGTGGCCAGGAGACTTTGCTCCCCCAGGTGGGTGAGCTGTCCACCCCTCACTCCAGTGAAGCTGTGAGCATCCTGATTGAAAGCTCTGGTTCACAGGGATCCTGACGAAGCCCGACCTGGTGGACAAAGGTACCGAAGACAAGGTAGTTGACGTGGTGCGAAACCTTGTCTACCACCTGAAGAAGGGCTACATGATCGTCAAGTGCCGGGGCCAACAGGACATTCAGCACCAGATGAGCCTGTCCAAGGCTCTGCATAAAGAGAGAGACTTCTTTGAGGACCACCCATATTTCAGGTATGCCCAGCTCTGTTTTCCTGTCAGAGCCAAATGAAGGACCTCCATCCTTCCTGGGGAAAACTGCCCCTTTCCAAAAGCAGATATTGGGGTATATGTGTGAGTATGTTTGTCCCTTGATACTGACTGTGGGATTTGCCTACAAGAATAATGGGGGAATTCACATGCATGGCAAAAAAAAAAAAAAAAACTTGTAAAAAATCAAATTAAGGAGTGAGTTTGCTACAATAATTTAAATAGTATGGTGCTGGAACCAGAATAAAAACATAAATACGACAAATAGGAAAAAAGTACAAAGCCCAGAAACAGACCCAGATTCATGTATTTGATATATGATAAATGTGGCATTTCAAATCCATGGGCTATGTCACTTTGATTATTAATCAGTGGCACTGAGAAAATTATTTAATGTCTGGGGGAAAATGTTAAGTTGGGCCCTGAACATGTTACACCAAAATAAATATCGGTTGAAGCTTCTAGATGGAGAATTTAAAATCCCAGGATAAAGATCTTTCTAACCCTAGAAAAATTGAAAAGGCAAAAATTTTCAAAATGGAAAAAACCGATACATTGGCCAGATTTAAAATACTGCCAAGATGCGGAGTTGGCGGGAAAAGAGGAGCCTGGCTCTCTCCCGGCAGCTAGGCGCCTGCTGGCACAGCCTCCGCACTGCACTTGCTGCCAGGCCAATAAGATGTCAGTGGAAGGTGTTTGTGGGATGTTGAGGCTCCTTGTATGCGCACATGTGTATGAAGGTGGAGGCCCAGGCACGTTGCTAATATCACAGCCAGTTCTCCCAGAAGCCTGTGGAGAGGTCTTGTTCAGATCGACAGGTGTGTAAACAGATATTCATGCCCCATTGTGCACAGCAGCACTGTTCACAAAAGCTGAAAGGTGCCACAACTCAAGTGTCCGTGGATGGATGGATAAGCCAAATGAGGTCTATCCATGCAATGGAATATTCTCCTTAAAAAAGAAGGACACTCTGACACCTGCTCTAACATGGATGAACCTTGAGATCATTGTACTCAGTGAACTAAGCTGGTTACAAAGAGATAACACTGTATGATTTAGATGAGGTCCCTAGGGTAAGCGTATTCATAGAGACAGAGGGTAGGAGGGTGGGTGCGGGGGCTGGTGGAGGGGGATGGGAAGTTAGTTTCATGGAGACGGGGTTTCAGTTTGGAAAGATGGAAAATTCCGGAGATGGATGGCAGAGATGGTTGCACAACATGAATGTACTTGATTCCCCTGAACTGTGCGCTTAACAGTGGTAAAAACGGGCACTTTTAGGTGATGGGTACTGCACTACAAGGAGACGAATGGACAGGTGCAGAAGCTGAATCCTCGGTTTATGCGTAATCTCACAGTAGGCGTGGCAGCTCACGCTTCCCTGCCTTTTAGCCTAAAAAGTTTTTGCAATGTCGAACCCTGTAAGAACTCACTCTGGGAACACAGATTTGGACTGAGAAAAGGGCTTCCTTCCTCCAAGCAGCCAGGGTTTCAGTACCCGTCTGGGGAAGGGTGTGTCCGGGCGTCCAGTGTTCAGACCTCACACCTATGTAAATATGGGTCGGTACATTTTTATGAAGCCCTATACCGGTATGCATTACATATACTTATGCATGTGGTACACACAGAGGGGGGTGTGTGGGTGTGTGTGTGAGAAAGATGAAAACTTACCTGTAGGTGACTATTTTTGTAAGGATGCAGTTCATATACCAGCTGGAAGGGGTCATTGAATACCGTTTTTGAATGATCCAAATTGACTGAAACGCAGCCCTCATTCTATACAATCCGATTCTGAACACTGGCGGGGTTACCTACCAACCACGGGACACTCCCTCCAGTTGGGAGTTGCTGGGTTTGCCGTGAATCCCCCAGCCACACGAAGCCGGCTGCCCTTGTGGCCTCACCAGGATGGGCGTGCGCCCCGTCTTCTCTTGCAGGGAGCTCCTGGAGGAGGGAAGGGCCACTGTCCCCTGCCTGGCGGAAAGACTGACCACTGAGCTCATCGCGCACATCTGTGTAAGCATGTGGAGCGCTGGCCGCTCACTGGGTGGGACCCTGCAAACACAAACCGCACCGCGGCGAAACGTCAGCCCGCACGGAGCTCCTGGGCATCCTGTGCAGCCCCAGGCCCAGGTTCAGTGGGTCTGGAGTGCGGCCCGGCCCCCGTTCCTAGAGAGGGCCCGGGTCGTGCGTGGTGCTTGTCAGAGGACCACACATTGAGAGGGATGCCGGTAGACTGTGCCCACTTGGCTAATTAAAAATCAAAACCTCTGACTGTGCTAACTCCCCCTTTCTCCCTGCCAGCCGCTGTTGGCATGTCGTAGTAGTTGCGATGATCATATTGTTTCTTAAATTTCTCTGGTTCGTAAGGTTCTTTTCCAACCTGTCCGAACAGTCTCTTGCTTTTTCCCATTTTCAGCCCTTTTAAAGGTTTGTCTTTGCATGTATTTCTGTTGTGTCTTGAACCTGATGAATCCGGTATGGGAAGCCCGCTGTGCCTCGGGCTGGAATTATGACAGGGAGCTTGTCTTGGAACGTGACCTGTGGGGACTTACCGAAGCCTGGGTTCAAAGGGGGCTCTTCCGGGGAAGGGCAGGGTTTGCGTTCGCCAGAAACCTGGACGGGCTTCCAGCTTGAACCACTTTAGCTTCTCAGCTGGAGGTTTTGGGGACCCCTCAGCAAGTGTGAATTTGGGCAGCAAACCTGCTCGAGGGCTGGCTTGTGGTTATAGATTCTCCTTAGAGATTTTCTCGCCCCCTCCACTCGGCACCAGAGTGCAGGCGTTGCACGCAGTCCCCCAGGAGTGGGCTGGCGGGCAGGTTGTGCCTACCCTGCCAAGATGAGAGCCCAGCTGTCGGGGTCCCAGATTTATGTACAGAGAAGGTGCTTGTCCATTAAATTCTCACCTGGAATAAGCCCACGGGGATTTCTCCTTTGCCTCACTACCAAGTCAGGCTCTGAAAGGGGTTCAAGTTTTCTCTCCCACAGATGCCCTTGAGGCCAGATCCTGCCTCACTGCTGCTTCCCTCTCGCATCCGCGGGCACCCACAGTCACCTGGCTTTAGCGGCTGAGTGTCTGTTATATACCTGCCAGCTCACTGGCACATTTGGAGGGGTGCTTGTGACATGTTAGCCATTGTTTTAATTTTTTTATTTTTTAAATATTTTTATTAATGTCAGATAGAGGAAGGGAGAGGGAGAGAGAGATAGAAACATCAATGATAAGAGAGTCACTGATCGGCTGCCTGCTGCACGCCCCCTACTGGGGGTCGAGCCCACAACCCAGGCATGTGCCCTGACCCGGAATCAAACCATCAAACCGTGATCTCCTGGATCCTAGGCCAACGACGCCCAATCGCCCAGCTGCACCAGCCAGGCTAGCCGTCCTGTTTAGACGTTGCAGTGGCAGGCTGAGCCACTTGTGCAGTCAACCCTATTAATGTTGTTAGAGCCACAAGTCCCCGATAACTTTCCATCTCTGAACCACAGCATGGAGGTTGCTGAATCTCAAATCATTGCAACTGCCACTTTTTCAGAACCCACTAGACAAGTGGCTTTTACAGGACCGTGCCAAGTGGCTGCCTGGCGTGGCTCTGAGGCCGTCGGTGCAGGCGCGGAGAGCGGGCGGGCCGGGGTGGAAACCAGTGCCCTCTCTCCTGCACAGCCTTTCTAGAGGAAGCCCAGCTGCCTGCGCCTTGCAGAGGGAGGCCTGGGCCCTTCTTTTTATTTTCTGTTCATATTTCTGTCTTTCCATTACTTTCTCTCTCTGTTCCCCAGAAATCTCTGCCCCTGTTGGAAGAAAAAATAAAGGAGAACCAGCAGAGTGTATCAGAGCAGTTACAGAAGTTCGGCATGGACGTACCGGAAAACGAAAGTGAAAAAATGTTGTTTCTGATCGACGTGAGTATTGGCCGTAGCATCATGTTGAAGAATCACACCCTGAACGTAGGAAAGGGGCCAGTGCCTTACGCGCTTCTTTCTCCCCTGACCGCTGAGCACTGGAACGGGGCCGGGGTGGAGGGACAGGGCCGGGGGCCGGGAGGGTGGCCTCATTGCTCCTCGGTTCTTCATTGTGCAACTCACCCAAGACCCCGAAGGCCGTAAGGGGGGAGGGGCGGCCTGGTGCCCGAGCCTCCCCTTCCCGATCACCCACAGCGGCCCGTGGGCAGCCGGCAGTGTCTCTCCCCCCTCAGCACACACATGTTCTCCGGCCCCTCGCTGCTTGCCTATGAAGTAGCGCCGCTTATGTTTCCTCTCCACAGAAAATTAATGCATTTAATCAGGACATCCTCGAGCTAATACAAGGGGATGAATCCGTGGGGCCCGACAGCTGTCGGCTCTTCACCAAAATCCGGAGTCAGTTCTACAACTGGAGCATTGTGATTCAGAACAATTTCCAGAGAGGTGAGTCCGGGGCGCTGGCGCCAACCCAGCGTGTCGGGCTGAGGCGGGGGACACCCACATTCATTGCAGCATCAGGTGGGGGAGACGGGTGGTAAGTGAGGACGGTGGGAATGAGAAGTCGGGACAGGGGAGCCACAGTCGCTCTGTTCCACGTCACTGAACTCGAACCAGCGAGCGTCTGTTTCAAGGGACACCGAAAGATGCTTCTAGAAGAATCCACCCGCCGACAGTGAGCGGGTCTGCATGCCTGTGTGTCGTGTTCTTTGTGTTATAAATGGTGAAATGACCCGGAGGGATCTTGGTTAACTGGCCAGGTTCCTGAAGCCCGGTGTAGTTTAGTGACTTAATAGTCACTGCAGTGAAAAGAAAGAACTGCGTGCTAGGTGCCAACCTTGCATCATCAGATCCCCAAGAGCTGGAAAAAGGTAGAAGATGTGATCTGAAATTTATATTTTAGTAATTCCAGAGACCTAAAGAAGATCACATATTGGCCAATGATAAAGCTGTAGCAGCTGGAGGAAATCCCGAGGAATTTTGCTTTTCTTCAAGAAAGGGCCCCCAAGCTGCCATCCCTGGTTGGTTCTTCAAAAAGAGACAGCAGAGCCCTGCAGCGTTTTCCCCCACAGCCTAGTATGTTGAGAGTAAAAAGAATTCCTAAAGTTTAAAGGAAAATCTAAGTGGTTTTTATCTAGTAAACAGTAATAGAAAATCCCACTAATATGACCTTATATGACTGGTACGCTGTGGTCCTGTTGGATCTGCACATGGCTCCTGTTCACGCGACAGAACACCAGTAAGTGATGCGTAGCTGATTCCAGATGGTGTTCGTGGTCAATCCTACTTTTTTTCTTTCTTTTTTTTTTAAATTTTTTGGTTAATCTTCACCAAAGGATATTTTTCCATTGATTTTTAGGGAGATGGGGGGGGAGGGGAGAGAAGCATCGATGTGAGAGAGAGACACAGCGATTGGTTGCCTCCCGCACAGGCCCGGACCTAGAATCAAACCTGAGACCCTTCAATGTGCAGACGGACACTCTAACCACTGAGCTGCACCCGCCAGGGCTCAATCCTACTTTTTAAAGGCCCTACAGAACGTAATATTCTATTATGATACAATTGCTTTGGTAAAAATCAAATTGGACTTGCAAAATGTCATGTTCAAGTAGCTTTTTAAGAACAGGCTTGCATTCACTGCTTTCTGGCTCCACACCCTGGCTCTATGCTTACCCTCTCAAGATGACCAAGGAAAAGTACATCGAGGTCTGTTTCTTTACTGCAACCCCTGATTATTTTTTGATTTGCAAATCAGATTTGACTTTTTCCCCCTTGCCACTCTGTGCTTTCAGAGGGACCGTCACAGGATGTCGAAAAACCTGTGACGTTATTTTTGTAAAATAATTCAGAGCTCTTCTTTCCTGCTGTAGGTTATGAAGACATTTTTAGAAAGGTCAAGAAATTTGAAAATCAGTATCGTGGCAAAGAGCTGCCGGGATTTGTGAATTACAAGGCGTTTGAGACCATCATAAAAGATCAGGTGAAAACCCTGGAGGAGCCCGCTCTGGATATGCTGCACAGAGTCACCGGTGAGTCCTCAGGTTGGCTTTCAGGCCAGTGCCAGGTCTCGGAGCTCTCCCCGGGGTGTTTCCCAGCACCAGCTACCTGCTAACCCAAAAATAAAAGGCTAAAGTGGGAGGCAAGGGCATTTATTTGAGTTTAAAAACTAAGAAGAGCTATTCGGGAAACACAGATTCAGGCTGAAGCCCAAACCGTGTTCTGATTAGGAGACAAAGGCCAGGGGTGTTGACGAGAAAGGGAAGGGGACAGTTACACCCACAGAAGGGAGGCCTCGCCATGGGTGCAGATAAGCTGACACAGTGAGGCTAGTTCTAAACAATGTTTTTAATGTCCAGTCCACTGGGCATCATATCTGCCCTCTGTTACCCTTGCAGACAGGTCCTTAGGACACAGTGTTGCCCCAGCCCCAGACCAAAGATTATTCTGCCTGTTCTAACAATCCAAAGGTTCGAGGCGTGAGACCAGCCAGGCAGTTTCTCCATTTTCAGGGGGCTCCGTTCATATTATTCCTTTTACAAACCCAACCAGTTCTTTAATTCTCTGGACATCCCCTGGGTGTTCAACAGTTCACCTCAGTTCCCGCATAACTACCCGGAGTGAGCACAGACCGCACAGCCCAGGGTCTCGGTCCTGCAAGGCTGCCCGGCTTCGGGGCTGTCACCACAGCTCCCTCCTCAGGGGAGATAATTTGCTGGGACAGCTCACAGAACTCAGGGACGCACTCCCCTACCTTTACTGATTTATCATAGATTATAAAGGATTTTATCATGATTATAAAGGAAGCAGGTGAGAGAGGTACATCGGGCAAGCTCCAGGGGTAGCCCAAGTACAGGTCCCACGGAGTTGGGGGCCACCGCCCTCTTGGCACGTATTTGTGCCACTAACCTAGAAGCTCTTTGAACCCTCCCTTTAGGAATTTTTATGGAGGCATAATCAGTTATCACATAGGCACAGTCAATTATTAACTCAGTCCGCATCACCCTTCGCTGCCCTTCTCCCCAGACCCTGGGAGGCGGGGGAAGGTGGGGCCGAAAGTTCCACGCTCCTAATCAAGGCTTGGTCTTTTTGGCAACCGGCCTCCATCCTTAAGCTACCCAGGGTCACCAGAGTCCCCTCATTGCAACAAGAGATGCTCCCACGCCCCAGGAAGTCCTGCGGGATCTAGGAGCGGTGTCAGGAACCAGGGGCAAAGACCAAATATATATGTCTTAGGACACAGCACCTCACTCTGCCCCGCTGCTGTGGCTTACCTTACAGTCTCATTAAGAGATGTATTTCCAATAAATTGTACCTTTAGGCTTAATAATTATATATCCAGTCTGTCACTGTGTTCTGTTGACCAGTTATGCCCTCTTAATGCACTCCTGAAGAAAACATGTTGTTCTTAGAGCCTTATAGTCATAGAAGCAATTTATATATATATATATATAAACTTTTGTTTTAGAAAGATGAGATGTGGAGTCAGTGAAAGATTTTCAAGCAATAAGATGCTGTACATCATATTAGGATAAAATTCTTTGAGGAAGTCAAGTGGAAATGATAGGTTTCAAAAATCAAAAGAGTGCAAATTTTCTGACTTAAGAGCTTGTTCGTGTATTTTCAGATAGATGAGGTGGACGTTTAGATCTTGTTGGTGCATGTGAAAGAGTGACGGGAGGTTTTACTGTAAAATCCTGATACATTTATAACTTACTAGAAATCATAGTCTTTGCAACTATTTACACTTAGGATGAAAACTTTAAATGTCACATAAGTATGCCGGCGGACACTTAGGTTTAAAATTCTTCTAGGGAGTTCTTGAGCCAAAAAGCACCCCTTCCTCCTCAGAGGAAAGAGGGGAGGAGTGGATGGAGGCTGAGCGGGATGGAGAGCGCTCTTGTCCTTGTGGTTTTATCCCCTGACTTTGTGCAACCTATAAAGGTGATGCGTGGTCCTCGCACTACTGAACTTCTTTGTCTTTCTTCCGTCAGATATGGTCCGGGTAGCCTTCACAGATGCTTCCAAGAAAAATTATGAGGAATATTTCAACCTTTTCAGAACCTCCAAGGTAAAACTGACCATTTGTTATTGGGAAGAAAAAAAAATTAACTGTAACATATAGAAAATAGATTTCCAGGATTAAGACTGTTGCAACTTTATATGTGGAGAATCAAATTATGAAGCTTATTAGTGAATATTACTGATTATATTACCAGTGAAGTCTGGTTAAAAGCAATAAAAGACAGAGAGAGAGAGGGACACATCAGCATGAGAGAGACACATCGATTGGTTGCCTCCCAGTTGGGGCCAGGGATCAAGCCTGCAGCCGAGGCACATGCCCTTGGCCAGAATTGATCCCGGGACCCTTCAGTCTGCGGGCTGAGGCTCTAACTGCCGAGGGAACCTGCTAGAGCAGCAGCGTGCTGCTTTCATTCAAGTTGGAGAACCTGCTAATCTGCGGACTTTGCGTACAACCTATTTTTCTCTGACCCAGGGATACACTTCTTGAGGGGAATTTTGTTGTGTTTCTCTTGTGCATTAGTCCAAAATCGAAGACATTAAATTAGAACTAGAGAAAGAAGCTGAGAAGACTATCCGACTTCACTTCCAAATGGAGCAGATTGTCTACTGCCAAGACCAAGTGTACCGGGCTGCGCTACAGAGGGTCAGACAGGAGGAGACGGAGGCAAACAAGAAGACTAAATCAGGCAATGCGGTATACGAGCAAGACTCTTCGCACTGCTCTCTGGCTGAAATCCTCCAGCACCTGACGGCCTACTGCCAGGTGAGTCTGCGCATGTCTCAGAAAGGTGGTGTTTGTCCCATTTCCTGTCTTATTGTCTCCATAAGGTGGCCACCCACCAGCCAGGTCTGCCTTTCAGCCCTTGGTCAGCCTCCATGGAAGTTACTCAGCTTCAGATGACAAGAAGAGGTTGTGGCTCAGAGCCACTCACGTCTGGTGTTGACTGGCTGTGTGACCCTGGCCAGGTTCCTTAACCTCTCTGAGCCTCAGCTTTCTTCTCTGTAAAATGGTATCTCCCCATAGGTTTCTAGTGACTATTCAATGGGATGACTGCAGGTAAATCCCTTAGCGCAGCAGTGGGATACGGTGGCAGCTCGCCAAACAGAAGCCACTCATGGAGACATGTGCTTTGATTGCTACTCTGGATTTCAAATAACACGAAGGGTGACTGGTTTCGTCCTGGGAAGGCTGCACAACTCGGCTGAGCAGACCTTAGTTAGAACCGTTGAGATATGTAAAAATCTGGACAGGTAAAGAAAAGAGTAATCCCTTGCTTTACCGGGTGTCGCCGTCACCTCCCCGATGGCGTGCTGAAGGCCGTGCTTCTCAAACTCGGTCTTGTTGAAATCGGGGGGATCTCAGGTCTGAGCTGGGGCCGGAGCTGCATTTCTAACGGTGCCAGAGGGAGGCCTCGCTGCCGGACGGAGACCACGCTCCGAGCAGCGAGGCTCTAACCCAAGGGTCGAGTTCCGTTTGCACAAACTCTGGGTGGTGCACACATGCAGGTGAAGCCAGTGCAGGGCAAGACAGAAGGACACCCGTGCACCCGGGATTCCCCTGACTGCTCACCTGCCTGGTGAGCCTGTTAGAGTATGAGTGACAGTGGAAAATGGGTCCCCCACCCACCCGCTCGGAGCCATGCGGTCCCCTCCCCAAGTAGCAGAAGCAGTTCTCTATCAGCTTCTTGATAACCTCCAAGGGACAGCTTATGTGTGTGTGTGTGTGTGTGTGTGTGTGTGTGTGTGTGCACGCACTCACGTGCGCAATATATGTAATATGCAAATTGTGTGTACACCAAGGTTAGCAGAGTAAACTGGTCTGCATCTTGTTTCCTTTCCTGTACCTGGAGATGGTTCCATTTTAGTTTGCCTTGTTTTGTTTCATTGTGGCTGAGTATCCCGTTTTATGGATGTAGCATATTGAGCCATTTCCCTATTTACAGACATAGTTTGTTTGCGGTCTTTTGCTGACACAGGGATGTTGCAGTGAATAGACTTGTTCCTACATCATGTATCTGGAGTTAGAAATGAGATTCCTGGTGTATCAGTTAGGGTCGTGCCGGGGAAACAGAACCAATAGGATATATGTAGATAAGAAATGTATTTCAAGGAACTGGCTAATGGGTTGTGGGGACTGGCTGGGCAAGTCCAAAATCTGTAGGAAGGCCGTCAGGAAAGACAGGCTGGAGATTCTTGGGCAGGAGTCAAAGCTGCTGTCTACAGGCAGGATTTCTTTCTCTGAAAGCCTTCAACTGATTGGACAAGGCCCACCCACACTCTCAAGGATAGCCTCCTTTATTAAAGTCATCTGATTGTAGATGTTAACCACATCTGCAGAATACCTCGATTAGATGGAATAGCTGGGTACTATTGCCCGGCCAAGCTGACACGTGAAAGGGACTGTTACACCTGGGGCAGGGCTAGCACTTGCTTTATGCAAATACTACTTTATGCAAATACTACTTGCAGAAGGCCTGTTTCCTCCCACACTTGCCAATGTAGTCTTTACTAAAGTCGTCGGTTTTTTGACAGGATAGGTGAAAAAGGCATCTTGTTGTAGTTTGCATCTGCATTTCTCTTATTATAATGAGATGGACATCTTTTCATAGCATAGGAGTTATTTCTATTTCATTTGGTGAACTGTCCTTGCAGTTGGGGCTCTGTTTTTAGTGTAGTGTTAGCCCCTGGGGGTCTGTGATGCAGATACTTTGGAGTTTGCCATTTTCCCTCTGGCTTTGTTTACCGTGGTTTTAGACCTTGCTGCAGTTTTCTAGATTTGTGGGTTGGATTTAAGAGTCCTTTTTTCCTGGGCTTCTGGTTTTTTTGTCATACTTCAAAGGGATTTGTCTCTCTGAGTTTTATAAAGTCTACGGTATTTTCTTCAAGTAACTTATTTCAATTTTCGTATTTAGACCTTTGATCCCTTTGGAATTGTTTGGTGTCAAGAATGAGATTTGCTCCAGGTGGCTAATAGTTGTCCCAGGACAGAACCCCCCTTGTCGCTATTGATGGGCAGTACACCTGTTTTACACTCTCTCCCTGCGTTTGTTGGTCTTTTTCTAGATCCTGAATTCCGGTCTGTTGGTTGGCTGTTCGTATGTCAGCATCTACATGATACACTAGTAGATCTTTACACAGTGTTTAACTATCTAGTACAGTAAGGGACCCCCTATTGCCTCCCACTTCTTTTTTTCATATGGTGGTAAAATATGCATCACATAAAATTTGCTGTTTTACCATTTTGAAGTGTACGGTTCAGTGGCCTTAAGCACATTCACGTTGTTACACAGCCATCCCCGCCGTCCATCTCCAGAACTTGTTTGTCTTCCTAAACCCAAACTCCATGCCCCTTAAACACTAACTCCCCACCACCACCACCACCACCATTCTACTTTCTGACTCTGAATTTTCCTGTTTAGGGACCTCATATAAGTGGCCCCATATAATCTTTGTCCTTTAGAGTCCGGTTTATTTCACTACCCATAATATTCTCAAGGTTCACCCCTATTGTAGCATGGGTCAGAATTTCCTTCCTTTCTAATGGAGAACAGCAGCCCATGGTATGGATGGGCTGAGTTTTTTTACCCATTCCCCTGCCATGGCCGTCCAGCTGGTCCTACCTTGGGCTACTCTGAGTAATGCTGCTGGGGATGTGGGCATATCACTGCCCACACTCCCCCTCTGTGCAGACATTTCTGCCTGTTGTTTGTTTCAGCTTTTATATAAATTTTAGAATGAGCTTGTCCAGTTCCTTCTGAAAAAAGACAAATGTTCGTATTCTCCCTGCGTTTACATTCACTCTACGGGTCTGCAGACAGTAAATCTTCCGTTTCCGAGGTCTCCATCAGGCACCGCAGAAGTGTTTTAAGGTCCTTTTTGTGCAGATTGTGCCCGTTCTTGCAGCTTATTCCCCACGCTGTTCTCAGCTTTGTCCCCGTGCGAGGGAATCTCTGCTTCCCGTCTGTCTCCCGTTTGCCGCCGGTAGATGCGGTTTCTGTCCGTTGTTCCACACCTCGTGTCCATACTGATTCTCCCTTGTCTGCAATAGCTCGAGAGTTTTCCCAGTGAACTCACCCCTCTACAGATGGTGGAGGTTTTCCACTCCCTCCCCCTTCCCATCTTATACCTCTCACTTCCTTTTCTTGCCTCGTCGGGTCCCTTTGGTGCAACTTGAGACAACGGCGAAGCTAATAGGCAGCCTTGTCTTGTCTGGGATGTTAACGAGAATTCCACTTTTCCCCTTACTTGTGATCAGATCACTGGCTCAGATCAAGGTGTCGGCAGGGCTGTGTTCCTCCTCGAGGCCCTAGGGGTGAAGCTGTTCCTTTGCCTGGTCCAGCTTCTAGAGGCGCCCACACTCCTTGGCTTGTGGCCCCTCCATCCTCACAGTCAGTACTGTAGGCATCTCTCCCACTTCTGCAGTCACACATCCCTCTGACCCTCCTGTCCACCTTCCTCCTTCGTATTGGACCCACCAGATTATCCAGGACTGTCTCCCTGTCTCAAGTCAGTTGATTAGCCACCTTCATTCCATCTGCAGCCTCAACTGCCCTTTGCAGTGGGCGCTAACATGTCCACAGATTCCATGATTAGGACGTGGACATGTTTGGAGCCATCTCTGTCCCATGGGCACGCATCGTTAAATGACTTGGACTTCCTTGGGCCAGTGATTTGTACAGTGTCCTTGTGGGCACTGGGGAGAGATCCAGGGGATCTGGTTTTCACAGCTCGAAAATTTCTTCTCGGCTACCAAAGAGAGACTTTTGTGTAAACTTCGCCCATCTGCCTGGCCGGTGTGGCTCAGCAGTTGAATGTGGACCCATGAACCAAGAGGTTGCTGGTTCGATTCCTGGTCAGGGCACATGCCAGGGTTGCAGGCTTGATCCCCAGTAGCGGGGGTGCAGGAGGCAGCCAACTGATGTTTCTCTATCTCTCGCTCCCTCTCCCTTTTCCTCTCTTTCTAAAATCAATAAAAACATCTTTAAAATAAATAAATAAATAAATAAATAAATAAATTAGGCCCACCTGTGAGATTCTCGGTGCGGCCCCTCCTCGATGCCCCAAACCCACCCGGCCAGGAGGCACGTCTGCCACCGGCCCTGCTCACCAGTTCGATCCCCTTCAGGAAAGAGGAAAGGAGATCCTGTTCCGTCAGACACATGCTGCTCCCGCTCCATCCGGCCTCGGTCCCCTCCTGCCACGTCACTTTGCCTGACTGCCACTGCTCCTGTGACACGTGGGTCAGGGTGGTACAGTACCTGTGTCTTTCTTCCACCAGATCTTTGATGTTTGGGATGAAGTGTAGGAGAACCAGGGAGTGACTCTGGCTGCCGTGTTTGTGCCAGAAGTCTCGAAAGATTCTTCGGGTGCCTCCTCTTGTCACTCCAGATATTGGCTGTTCCTTTCAGCTCGTGTCCTTTCTCCAACATCAGACCTCAGTGTCTGTGACCCCCAGCATCCCTCCTGAACGCCTCCTATCAGCCAGTCCCTCTTCTTTCTCCCCGTTCCTGTTTGGGGACAGGCCACCTTCCTGGCTCACCCCCCTTCTAGAACATGTAGCACATGGGCCATCTCCACGTCGCTGACCCTCTGGATTCAATTCGCTGAGTGCTTATTCCATGCCTGGTGTCTTTCTAAACTTGCACCGTTTAACCGTGAGGCAGGTGCTGATATTTTACAGAGAACAAAACCGAGGCACAGAGAGGTCCCAGCACTGCCTCAGGACAAGTATCTGTGAGCGTCCTGCGAGGTCACCTGTCTTAGNCAGCGCTGCCTCAGGACAAGTATCTGTGAGCGTCCTGTGAGGTCACCTGTCTTAGGAAAGAGGAACTTCTCACTATCAGGTGGAATTGGGGGTGAGGGAGAAGGGTCAGCACTCCCTCTTGACCTGCATAGATCTCTTGGGGTCCCTTCTGTGGCTTTTGACAGCCTCGCCCCTGTTCTGCTAAATCATCTTAGTGTCGATTTTTTAAAAAGTCATAAAATCTTTCTGGCAGAGTTACAAGTAATTGGAAAGTGTCGTTTTTGGACCCTGTCCATTTACCTTTCTGGCGCACCTATTACCCTCTTCGGTCAGAAGCGACCGTTCGATGGTCGGGACAAGCCGATGGGGGTCTAGCCGACCCTTGACCACGGGCCGGCGCGCCCTGCGCTGTGGGGCGGTGCGGGGCCCCTCGCCTCCCTTAGCGCAGAGGCCTGCGACCTGCCGGTGCTCAGGTGGCGAGGAGGGAGCCTTCCCCTTGCTGTGTGCCCTCAACCCCTCTGTGGACCTTTCCTTCCAGGAGGCCAGCAGCCGCCTGTCCAGCCACATCCCTCTGATCATCCAGTTCTTCATCCTGCAGTCGTTCGGCCAGCAGCTGCAGAAATCCATGCTCCAGCTGCTGCAGGACAAGGAGGGCTACGGCATGCTGCTCAGGGAGCGCAGCGACACCAGCGACAGGAGGAAGTTCCTGAAGGAGCGGCTGTCACGGCTGACCAAGGCCCGCCACCGGCTTGCCCAGTTCCCGGCCTGAGCGGCCGCTTGCTTTCCCCGAGGCCTGCCCCGTGTTAGTTGTCAATGCTCGTTCCTTCGTGGGAAGGGGCCCAGTAAGAAGCTGTGGGGAGCAGAGTGGTTTCCAGCCTGAGACTCAAGGGGAGGATGTGGTTTGGGG